GAGATTTGAACAGCCGAACTGCAGAACTGCAGTCAGCTGAAGTAGCCTGCAGTGCTGCATTTAACCACTGCGCCACCTCGGCTCTTTGGGATTCTTATTATGGCTCTGCCTGAAGGAGGTAGATCTTTCTTATGTAGAATAGACTGGCTCAGGCCTTAATAGCCCATTGACAAAGATGAAGGGGGATGAGTTTCTACCTCAGTTTTAGGGGAAATATTCTGCCCTTTTAATATTTCCTAAAATATTTCATTTTCTAGGAGAGGGGTATGTTTTAACTTCCTACAGACTGCAGATACAAAAACGGTAGCTTTCACTGAACAGACCTCAACACACAAGCACAGCAATTATGCAAAACTTGGTGATAAGATCAAGTTGACCTAATAAATCTATTGGCTGGAGGAAAAATAAATTGCAAAGGCTACCTCTAACCTTCTTGAAATTTTAACCTATGCTTTACAAGGGACTATTAAGGCTGAGAAAATACGATCTTCAAGTCCTGAACTGGGATAGGATCTGGAATGACTCAGGAGTTCACAGTCTCCCTGGCAAGTGTGGGCTTTTTCCCGATGATGACTAGTTCAACCCATTTCCCATCTTTTCCTGTTTTGCGCATTTTTGATCTACACCAAACAAAGCTGGCATATTCTCCTGCAGAGTCACATAGGACTAATGTGCAAGTTCTTATACTGTTGTGTGCAGTTGGGCGCCCTTTCTTGTGTTCATTATTTTCCTCAGCACTTATAGCTGACAAATATTGTAATTTGTCAAGATTTTCTTTTTCCTCTTCTATTTACATTTACATCTATTCTACTTACTCATTATTCTTATTTTTGCTCTTTCTTTTCTAATATTTATATTGATTTTATTTTGTTAAAAAGTATTTGTTATATTTATATGGCTGACCATGTCACACGACTGTGTCTGGATGATGCACAACAGTGAATTTGTTTAATAAAAATGTATTTCATAAAATTTCTATATATTTTTTTAAAAAACCTGGCTGCCAAACCATACTGAATAGCAAATGTGTCCCTTGCCTTCAAGAGGTATCTAAACAGGGCTGTGAAGCAGAACAATTACAAACTTTAAAAGATTAACATTGGGTTTTTTTTTCATAAAACAAACTTGCAGAGATACTTTTTCTCTGAGTGAGGAGGAAAGCTATTTGCTACTTGAATAATTCTTAAGGATTAGGAGACAAAACAAAAATAAGAAAGAGTTTGCCTTGGAGTTTAATGAATCACATTTTACTTCCCTCACTTGGGAGAAAACAACTCATTAACAGCAGACTTCGGAACTGGCTATTTTGTTCTTATGTAATGAAGTGCTTAATTATTAGTCAAAGGTGACAAGGTTTGTGTTTTTGGCTAGAATTTGTTCAAGGAAACAGGGCCTGTGGTGAACAAACTTCAAAATGGGCTACTGATACGTAAAAACCCCTTTAAAATTTTAAGTAAATTGGGCAGTCTGTTCATCACCCACACTGGCTAGTCTAAGGAAAAGAAGAATTAGGAGGGACATCATAGTGATATTCAGTATTTGAGATATCTGGTTGGGAATAGGTACCAGATTTAAACCAAGAATGAGGAATAGATTTTCCTTGTAAAATAGAGTTACAGAGATTGTATACATGTGGCATTTTTTTCAGGTTTGGATCAGGGGTGTGTTTCCACCGGTTCTAACCCCTTCAGTAGAAGAGGTTCCAGAAATCTACCAAACCGGTTAGAAGAGGTTTGTCACGGAGCGCCTGCCCCACCCCCTCACTCACTTCCCCCATCCGTTCTGTCGCCGCTTCCGGCTGCATCCGAGCTGGTGGAGCGCCCGCAACCACCTGCCCGTCGTCAGGGAGACAGCCAGTGCAGGTGAGCCACACGGTTGCTCCGATTGCACAGGCACTCCACCAGCTCGGGTGTAGCCGCACCCGAGAAGTTTCTCTTCTCAGAAATGTCTTCTCAGTGAAGCTGTGGCAGCCTGCCTGTTCCTTTCAGGTGCTTTGACCCCTGGGAGGGAGGGGCCCAGGGGGAGCATAAAGGGAGCCGCAGCTCCTCTGTGAATAGAGGGAGAGGAAAAAAGTTGGGATTCTCCCTGCTGCAGCCTTTAAATGGCAGAGAGAGGCCAACTTCCCCGCTCCCATTCATAGAAGAGTTGCTGCTCCCCTTATGTGGATGTAATGTGATTTTTTGCAAGGACTGGGAAATCTCTGAACAAGAAAAATGTATTTGCATGTTAATGGGGGAAACAGGTGGGCT